GGACGAGAGCCTCGTCGTCGTCGCCGCTGCTCTCCCGGCTCCTGCCCTTTGAGCGCCGACGCGGTTACATCTGTGAGAGCGGGACGGCCCGTAACCTTCACATCAACCACTGCGCATCACCGGTGCCCAGCCCCTCTCCCTTTCAGCCTTGGGCTGGAGAGCTTAGATGTTTAAAAAGCAAACAAATGAAAAGATTAGTCCACTGAGCTGTCCAGGCACTTGGCATCTTCGCTTTTCACTGCATTTTTGCAGAGCAAGAGAACCTTTAACCTTTAGTAGTATTTGACTGCTTTCTCCGTTTAAGCAGGATATGACTGACAATTGCAAAATCTCATCAGTGAAACTTACAGTTCTTACTCTCCCATTATTTTTTGTAGGTAAAAAATACCCTTCTTTAATTTTTGGGACACCCAAATCATCCAAGGCTGTTCTTGGAAAAAGCAGTCCTCTCTGGCAATACATACTGGATCACTCTTTGCGGGAACACCCCATTCTAAAGAAACTGCGACTGGTCAGTATGTTTCCCCCCACCTTAGGTTCCCTGTTCCATACATTTATCGTTCCAGTAGGCCCTTTCGCTATTGCCCACGTCTAGTACAGAACTGCTAGCTTTCTTGTGATGTTCCTTCTTACGTCTTACTTGTACATGCCTGGATTTATAGGTGGTAGCCAGTACAAAATTGATAAATCATCCGGGAAGAACGACAGGCAGCCTTGATTGTATAGCTCTCTGTTCCTTACAGAGACAGCTAACAACATAATCCCATAGGGTTTGTCTGTTAGTTTTTAATCCAGAACCCTGAGGTAGAGACCAAAATCCTGCTTACTTGTGAAGACTGTTTAGTCCACGTAAGTGGGAAGCTGGCTCAAATCCTCTTTGTTCCCCTACTCTTTGTGCTTTCTCCTATTTCCAGACCTTAGAGGCCAAGGTATATACACATTTATACTTGCTGATGATGGCTGGTCCAGAAGAAATCCTGGCCATATCCCCTTCCTTTGGATACAGTTGCTACACTAGGAGACCAGTGGAACATTGTCCAGTGTATTAAGTCATAAAACAGACACGAGAATTTGTTTAGAAGTGGTAGTACCCAGACTCTTTGATGTTCTAGGCTACCCAATGAATACTTTATAGCTTTGGCCTACCTTTTGGACACATCTTATCCATGCCTCCTAATCCCATGCATATGGGCCACGCTTGACTTAGGACTTGTGTAGATGACTTCTGTTCATCTTAGCTGGCACATAAGGAAACTGTAGCCTAGAGAGGTGATGTCCTGCAGCATGCTGCAGTGTCAGAGCTCAGGACAGGATAGCTTCTGACTCAGTGTAGAGTCCCATCAAATGGGACAAACTATTCCTGTATAAAAGGAATTTAATGTTGAAGGTAGCTGATGCAGCTATAACGGGCCCTAGTGAAAGAAAGGAAATGGGAATGGGGAACAGAGGACCATCTCATCCATTGAACTGCCACTGCACAGCCCTGCTTTTCCTGGTATAGTCACAGCTCCTCCAGCTCTGTCCTGCATAACCAAAGACACACAGTCTGACCTTCTGCAAATAGGCTTTAACCTAGCAGTTCGAAAAGCCATCCTATAGATCTTGGGGAAATAAAGGCTTAAAAGTTGTTTAGAAAAGTGTGTACAATATAAATGCACACACCACCACAATTTATATATACAGGAATAAAGGACTTTCATCATCAAGGTTCCTCTATGGCTTTCCATAACTCATTGCTGAGTCTGCCACAGCCGTGGTAACTTTGGAGCATATTACTGCTTTGAATGCTTAGTCACTGCTTATGACTTTCCCCCCTTAATTACTGTTAAATTCCAAACAATTCTGTCTCATGCATGGAACGCAAAGCCATAGAATGAGAAAAGTAAAAGTACCTCTGTTCTTCCTGGATTTTTTTTCCTCTTCAGGATATTGCTTTGGAGGCTTTGGGATTTGTTTGGTTTTTGTCTTCATGTGTTGATTTCCCCCTTTCTAGCTCACCGCAGATCATCCCTGGAGTAAAATGATGGTGTCCTGTGACCAGGCACAGCTTATGGCAAATTTAGTCAAACTTATCAAAGCCAAGAAAGTTATTGAAATAGGTAAGAGTATGCCACTTTGTCTTCTGCGCACTAGAATAAAGCTCCTGGCTGTGTTTCTCCAAATCCAGATCTGCTTAAAATGAAATTTCCAAACATAGTAAAGCACTGCATCTCTGTCTTAGCAAACATTTGGGCAAATTACAGTTTCCAAAGTAGTGTCTGATTTCTACTTATTTGCCACTTTGTCTATCTGTGCGTTCAGTAATTCTGGCATCAGCAGGGATGTCTCATTTCTTTAGAGAGAATCTGAAAAGTTATCTGAAAAAATGACCAACACATCACTTGGGTCTCCAGTGCCAGCCAGTCGCAGGGCAGGGTGCACTCTTATTTTCCTATATCATTGTCATGCCAGAAGAAAGTGGTTTGCTGCACACACTCTACCTCCAGTCCACTTTCTTTCATGCTCCTGTATTAGAAGGACCTCCAAAAGCCAAATTCATGCTGAACTGCCAAGCATGGGTTCCCACCCATCTTTTTCCTTGGCTTTCCCTGTTAAGGGAAGCCTTAGGAAACCCTACTGTTTTGCTCTTTGATAGATCCAGTTCCTTCACTTTGGGATTTAGCTCCGTATTTAAATAAGGATGTTCCTTGGAAATGCAGAACTAGACTTTGTTGTGTGTGTGCAGACTTTTGGAAAAAAACTACTCTAAACTTTGCAAAAAGATTGATTAAAAAATAAAAAAGAAAACTCCCAATCTGCAATGTGTTATTGGAAAACCTTTTGAGTCCATTAACAAACTGCCATCTTTGAGTCTTCTGGGATTTTTATTCCTGAAGGGAGCCTTGTAGTTCACTATTTATCAAATTTTCACAATATGCAAGTGTTGATGACTCCTATGGTCTTGCCTAGGTGTTTTCACAGGATATAATACCTTGAATATGGCACTTGTCTTGCCAGATAATGGCAGAGTTATTGCCTGCGATATAAACGAAGAGTACGTCAAAATTGGAAAGCCACTGTGGAAAGAGGTAAGTAGCATCTCTGCCATTGTATGTTTGGGACAGCTTCAGCTGCATATCCAGGGATTTTGGTATCTTAGACTTGCACAGCCACCCACAAGCATTCCTGTTATTCAAGTCAGTTGAGGTATCTCAGTTTGAGAAGACAAATAAGTCCCATCTAGAACCTGGAAATAACAGGGAAAACTGAACACTAGTCACTGCCCAAGTGCAGCCCACTATCAGGTTATTTCATCAGCTCTGTTCTCTTCTGTTCTAGGCAGGAGTAGAGCATAAAATTGACCTCCGGATTAAGCCAGCAATTCAAACACTTGGTAAGTAACAAAAGAAAAAAAAAAACCACACGCACACACGCCGCACACTAAAAGATAAACGTCACGCTAATTAAATCCAAGACCAGCTATACTAGTAGTTGAGGCCCCTTTCCTAACAAGGGGACAGCTTCTCTTATATAAAATGGTTAAAAAAAAAATTAGAAGTTCAGTCTTCATATATGCTAGTAGAGAGGAAGAAAATGCCTATCCTGTGCAGTGGGCTGTACTGGTCAGTCACCTGTTCTGTCCATTGCCTTGTTTAATCCAAGAATTAGTATCGTCAGCAGCTCCTGCTTATGGAAAAGCTGATTAAAACAGATTAATTTGACAAATCCCAATTTCTCTTATCCCATGTCCATTTTAAGCAAGCATTTATTTGTTTAGACTGAGTTTTCTAAAACAGCTGAGGTGCAGCAAAAATACAGAAACAGATAAAACTTTAGGGTATAAAAGTTGAATTTTATCCAGAGAAGTTCACATTTAGGACATGACAAAAATCACATAAAGCCATTAGAAAAGCAATGGCTTTTCTCGGTCAGGACAGGAGGGGGTGTGGGACAGAGGGCATATTTGTTAGGAGTGGAGGAGGTAGAAGATAAACTGAATCACCTTTGCTGCAAGTCAAGTATTTGGGAAAAAAAATTATTAGTTGTTAAGGTAGAAGAGGTTACCCATGAATGCTGGGGAATTACCCTCTCTAAAGGTCTTAAGAATGGATTAAACAAGTACCTAATAAGTGTATCTGGACCATCCTTGGCCCTCCATCAGGACCAAGGATTGGACTAGGTGTTCTCCGGGGTTCCTTATCAGCCCAGTGCTTCAGTACAAACTAAAATGGTGGGAGAGTCTATCCAACCTGGGTGCAGTATGAAAACCAGCGCACTCTGGAGGAGCACAGTTTATTCTCCTTGCTAGAATAGATGGTTCTACAGATCCATCTGTCACCTTGTATTACTTCCAAATTCATGTTTCCTTTCTAAAGGAGAAAATATTAGCATTCTGCCAGGCTGTGCTGTCCTTGAAGTCTGATGGACACCTATGTCTAGGCAATATTTCAGACAAAAAGATCCTCTGCTGACAAAGGATAAGAGCAGCTGAGAGGGGGTGGTGAAGAATCTTAAGAAAGTAGTCATCCCCTTTGCAACTGACAGTTTTGAAGCTCTCGGTCAAGAAGTCCCTTTAAGAGGGCTTTAATCTAAATTCCCCTTGCCTTGGCCTAGAGAAAATGCTTACAGCTATCTTTTGCTGTGCTAGAGATTGCTGGCAGGGTTTGTTCGTGACCTATATCATTGTACTGGATCATCAACTAGAGCTTAACATTTAGGACCTGTTCATAAATGTGAGAAAAATCCTGATCCCCTTAAAACAGTTCTTCTTAATCATAAAAAAAAAAAAGAAGAAGAAGATGCAGAGCGTGTCCAGTTTCAAATTGCTTAACTTGTTCTTACTGCACCATTCAGCAGTCCCAGCTGTATCCTGCATGTGTAGGACTACTCCATGAAGTTCATCCAAGTAGACAGAACTCAGTAACTGGGCAAGTGTTTTATGGCATAGATTACATCCAGATTGGTTTCCATGGGATAAGTTTTTCCAGTAAATAGCTGTAGAGGAATAGCCTGCCTGGTCAAGGCACCAAACATATTTAATGAAACCTTTAACGCAAATGGAGGACTTCCTCCTTTTACACAGCGTTAACCAGGGCATAACAACTCGCTTTGTTGCCCATCTAGATGAACTGCTGGCTGGAGGAGAAGCAGAGACCTTTGACTTTGCTTTCATTGATGCTGATAAAGAGAGCTACAATGAGTACTACGAAAAATGTTTGCGCCTCATAAGGAAAGGGGGAATAATAGCTATTGATAACGTAAGTACCGCATCTGTAGTGGTAGTAGCACAGGGAGTTACTGCCTTTTGCCTCAGGAAAAGCCAGGGGAAACCACCCCTGAGATTTTAATAACTTGATTTCTGACCTGCAACTTAGTTGCCAAATGCAACATCACTGTTTCACGTTACTCAAAGGAGGCTTTTAAAATTCAACATAAATTATTAAAAAGTAAACTATATGCAACATTAATAAGAAGGAAAACCAGATATAAGCAATAACGTGTTAAATTTGTATTAAAACAAACAGCCTCTGATAACAGAAGCTGATCATTTTTCGCAATTCATTACAAAGAATGCTCTCTATTAGTCTAATTTTTCTTCTAGTGCTTTTTCCATTGCATACAGTACATGTGCAAAATCGAATGTAATCTGTTACAAATAAGTTATCAATTAATAACTTCTACTAGTAACAAAAAAACAATGTTAAACTTCAGGCACCTTCAGGGTTATGATGGCAGCTAAATAGGGGCTTTTAAAAATACCTAGATTTCTCATATTTCCTGTTTTTTAGTTTTTAATCTGCAATAGAAGTACAAACATTAGCCAGTTCTGTGGACTCCCATTCCCATTTGATGACAGCTTCATGTCAAGGAGCACTAGAAAGTGTGAGATACTGTACTCAGTATCAATTTTTAGCAAGTATGCAGGACCTTTTCCAAAACTACTTTTTGTGTTTTAAGGAACATATTGAAACAAATGAGGTGCATGACTTTTTTTTTTTTTTGATAGGTTCTTTGGGGTGGAAAGGTACTAAAACCAAGAAAGGATGACTTGGCAACCCAGAGCATTCACCACCTCAATGAGAAGCTTCTCAGAGACACACGAGTCAGTATCAGCATGATCTCAATGGGGGATGGAGTGACATTAGCATTCAAGTTGTAACTGCAGGAATCTCAACAGATGGGAAACAGCAAGCAGCATCAAATCATCAGGAAAAATAAAGGCAGAATACTATCAAAAATGATCATTTAACCTATGTCTCAACAGGATAACGTAGCCTGGGGAAAGCAGACTTTAGAATCAGCAGGATCCCTAAGGGCAGCTAAGTTGAGAAGAGAGACTTATTTTGAGATCTAGTATGGCTTCTTATTTTAATTACAATAAAGGAAGGAAACTTGCATGAAGTTGTCCTTGTAAGACAGTAGTCGAAGGAAATCTCCCTGTGTAGAATAACTGAGTAGAGTTCCAAGTGAGTCAATATCACAAGACACATTTCCTGTCCTGAAAGGAGGCTCTCAAGTCAGAGAACAAGACAGAAAGTGGGGGTTGGGAGTAGAAATATGGACATATTAAGTGATCTGCACAGGATCCTAGAGAGAATCAAGATCACTGCCAGAAACAGAATCTTCACTAATCTCAGTCCAACACCATAACCCTCAGGGCATTTTCCTCCTAGGTTTCCACTGCCTTGAAGGAAAGTTAATTGTGTCTTCCACTACTGAGTGGGAAGTCTTGAATATCTGTATAGCAGCCACATAAAGCACAAGTTAAGCTGGGGAGAAGCAGATGTAACTCAGCACAGTGACACCTTTGCATCAGTGAAGAGAGAGAGGTCACACTTCCCACACAGCTAATTATGAAAAGTAAGAGAGCTTTTATACTACCAGGATTTCAAGGCTGAGCTTGTTGGGGATATTAAAAAACAAAACAAAACAAAAAACAAAACAAAAACACACACACACTTCATTTGGTTGGCTCCTTGCTGCTGCTGTTTTTTGGGGTTATTCTGCAGAAGACATAGCAAGATGATAAAAAGGAGGGGGGTATGGGAAACGTGTTGGTGTTAAGAGTAGAGAGCTGGACAAACACTTTCCAAATTAGACTGAGTGACTGTGATGTGACTCAATGTGTGATGAGTCTCTAAAAAGCACAAAACTTGTTGCACAGGCCCAGTACATAATAGTAGGTCTCTTTGGGCTGTTAGTACTTTTTTACATGCTAAGAATCCTTGCAGGTAATGTTTATCAAATTGTTTCTGAGGGCTCCCATCTATTGAGAACATCTGTCTCAATGTGACTGAAAGAGCAAAGGTGTGTTTTTCCCCCCCTACTGGAACTCTGCAAGCATCCTGCATGCTTCTAGCAAAACAGGGCCAGTAAAATTCTCAGTGTCTCACTGTCCGAGACATTTTGGTTATCTTTTCCCTTGCCCCCCCCCCTTTTTTTTGGCTGGGACAGCAGCTCCCTTTTTGTATATAGGCTGAAGGGTACAGATTCATTGGAGAAGTCCAAGCAAAAATATGTTTGGGTGAGCGACTAATCTCTTGTAATGGGACCAAATAAAAGTTACAGCCCTTCTCTAGAAAACTATTATGTTGATATCGAGATATTTGCTAGGGATCATGAAGAACTTCAGAGTACCTTGGTCTTTATCTCCCTCCAAAATAAATGGGTAACAGAAGCTATAGTTTTATACAGAAGAAATGCATGGTATATATCCCTGGCATGCTGCAGGACGTGGAGACCAAGCTTTCAGTAGTGCCAGACAGCAGGTGATGCTAACTGTGCTCAAGAACCATATACTGAGTAGTAATCAGTCACTGTCAAAAAGAAGAGAGATGGAGCTCACTAACTTCACAAGCCACAATAGAAAAATGGGTAACCTTCTCAAACCAAATATATTGAAAGTCACTGGTGGCCTTTGAAGGGTACTGAAGCAAGAAGCCCTAAATATCTACCATCTGGAAAAAAAAAAGTGATGTTAAAGGACAAGACATTCAATACTGAGCACTCCTTGAAACCTTTTTGATTAAGAACTGGATCACTTTAACCTACGTAACAGTGCAGGCAGAATTTTTGAAATCAGAATAAGGAAGAACAAACTGGCAAGGAGTTTGGGAAACCAAACCCTACCCCCCAGACCCTCCCCCTCAAAGAAACAACTTGCCAGGCTGTTATTAACAGAGGCGGTATTAAGTCTTCCTGCCATTGAAAGGAGCTGCCCTGGGCTCCAAGGTGCTGATAAACTGTCCAAAACAGACCCATAGGCTATTTTGTTTTGTAAGTTTTTTTTACTGAAGAACTCTGGCAACTGTTGTAAAGTCTGATAGAAAGTGGCAGGCACAGAGAAAGGTGATGGAAAGGCTACAGAAGGAAAGCAATGATTGTATGAGGATGCAATATAGCTGTTAACTGGCTATTCAAGTAATTATTGCAAATACACGCTCTCTAGGGAAAGGAATCTCTGTAACAGAATGATGCTTTCTCACACTCTTTCATATACTGTTCTTAACTCCTAGTTATCTGAAATTGCTGCTGTCATCAATTACTCGTGCTCCATTTTGATGCCTTCTGTGAAATTTGTGGCAGCCATTGTTGAAAGAGCTCCCCTTTTACCTAGGGTCAGTAAGGGCGACTTAAGGAGCGGAGGTGAGAAGCATGTTCTGTTCAAGTTAGAGAAAGAGAATCTAGCTGATCAGTTATTTCCATGGGAAATACACTATTACAAATAGTATTACTAACTAGTTTTTTAAGGCTTTCCAGTTCCAGCCTGAAATTCTTATTACTGAGAAAACCCAATTAAATGAGAAAAAACAAACTAGCATGTTAAAGCCAAAAGCTCCACTGGCTACTGATTTGTAGGGCTGATACATTGGAAGACTGTCCACGATATGTGTGTATTGAGGGAGGAGACGATCTTAAGTTTTGTTGGCCTCCTGTAGGGAAGTCATGCCAGAGCTAAGAAAATCCCACTTCTGCCATTTGCTTGAATAACACACTTGAATGACTTGAGGCACTGGGGGACAAAGGTTTCAAATCACATAAAATAATTGTTAGAACTGACAATGGAGCTCTCATTTTTGAAATTTTTAACTGAATAGCTTGGGTTCTGACAAGGGGCAGGTGTCCCAGGCACAAGTCTTACCTGTCTCAAACATGCGTGGTAATATAATGGGAGAATAATGAAGAAAGGAAGCACTGTCCAGCGACTTCAGTGTGGGGTAAGGAGCAAGGAAATCTTGATTCTATTTCTGTCACTTCCAATTAAAACCCTGATTCAGCAAAGCATGTCAGGATGTGCTTAAGTGCTTTGCTGAACTGAGTACTGGTGGCTGTGAACTAAAATCCATGCCTGGGAGAGAGCCAGGACAAGGTGCATGTGGCCTTTAAACAAGATCTTAAATAAGGCATAAAATCTGTCCAATTTCTTTTTCTAGCCTTAGCTCTTCAAACCTCTGCGTGCCTAAATATTCTTACCTGTATAAAAGAACCAACACCTTACTGAAGCCTTAATGACTAAAACAGCTTTCAGATGGAGTCACTAAAAGAATACACAAGATCATTTTACATTTGCATTCAAAGCTTCTGGCTATATTCCACTTTAATGATTTTTGCTTTTCAAGTAGATAACAAAAATTTTAGGGTTACACACACAGTACAGGACACTTTAACAGCTGGGACACGCACTCAAATATTCCTGCTCTCGGAGACTCATGGGAAAGCCCTTTAGGAGAGATTAATAGGCTCTGTTTATTGCTGTTTTAATCATTTCTCAGAGACCAATTATGATAGCCGTAAGAAATCTAAGCAAGGAACAAATACAGTGTTTTGACACTTCCTGTTAGATTGTATTTTCTCATAAAGATACAGATCCAATGATTAATCCTGATGATGCTCTTTAGGCTATAACCAAGTGTTTAAAAAAAGAAAAAGAAAGAAAGAAAAAGAGAGAGAGGGGGAAGGAGAGAAACTGCCAAATACTACAAGCCTCTCAGTATTTTGGCCATACAGGGTTGTGTGGCATGACTTTTCCCGTTCTGTTTTGAGAAAGCTCAGTTCTCCTAAATTAGCTGTAAGATCTTCCAAATCATTTAATAATGTTAATGACAATAATTATGGGGATGATTATCTGAAGCTTGATTGGTATTCCGAGTCCTAGATGACAGGAAACTTCCTCACTGAGCTTCCAAACCAAATCTGAATAGCTGTCAGGCTCCAAATCTATAGTTGCACAAAGTCCCTTTGATTTTATTGAAGTTCTGTACGAGCGCAGGCTCAGCCCCAGGAAATGACTGAAACAAACATAAACCCACCTCTACCTTCCTCCTGCCCAGTGAGCTCAACATAGAGACAAGACAACAGGGAGAGAACAGCGGTACCTGGTTTTACAGATAAGACAGAGCTAACGGACAAGAGAGCCCATGAAATAGATCGCCAAAACATATTTAAGTACTAACTTAAGGGAACAGACATTCTGGCCCTAAAGAATTTAACTGGTCCTAGCTAGATCTTCTGAGCCTTATCAAAAGCAAGCTTTAGAGACACTATCTCTGCTGAAAAGAGATAAAGATCATGTTGTTCTTTACATTCACAGGCATGCACAAGCATTTCACAGAGCCAGAGGTGCAGGGAGCCAGGGTTTCAATGCCCACTTACTGAAAAGCAAACAGATACACCTAATTTTATCTTTTTCATACAAAAATTCTCAAGTAACACACTCTTCTGTTTTAGTCGGATCAGTATGAAGGCGAAGTGAGATTGGCTAAAGCTCAGTAGAGACCAGAAGCCAGGCAGCTAGTCATTATTTCACTGTTCTTGAACGCTGCTTTGTGGAAGTCAAAGAGCAGCAACATGCAAGTAACAGCAAATCAGGAAAAAACAAAACAAAACGACCACACACACATCATGTTGGTTTCTCACACGTGAGACTGAGTTTGGTTACTGATAGATCACTCCAGTAACGAAAACAAAACAGAAGCTGAAGCTGTGATTTCAAACTTGATGGAATTGTTCTCTACATCTACAGTAGAGGCCAATAATCAAGAGCAAGCTACAAGCTGTTAAGAATGCACACAGTGGTCCAAGAGTACCATTATGCCTTTCCCAAAGCTGCAGAAACCAGTGGAAGATTGAGCACAGACTCCGTAACTGTTTTGCTAGTCATTTCCAAGTTGCAAGAATCTTCTCAGTAAAGCTGATCCAAAAGTCAGTACGCACCGTGAACAATTTTGGAAGAAACAGACAAATAGCTGCTTTTGAATTTTGCTGAACAGCTACAAACTTCATAGTTCATGACTTCATAAACTCCTCCCGAGTAGAAGGGCCTCCAAAGTCCCTATAACCCGTGCTAGAGGCGGACACTAGTTTTGCTCACAGGGATTTCTCAAGCACCTGAGGCT